CCACCGATGTCGCCGCCTTTATTGAGACCCATCCCAGTTTCTTTTTGGAAGAAGACACCTGGAAACAGTAAAAAAACAACCGCACCGAATTCACCCACCCAAAGTGCTGGCAAACTTTGGCAAATACGCGCATGAACCCCCAGGCATTGGGGTGCAACTGCGAAGGCGCAACCCTTAGATGAGATAACACTCCTATCTCAAAATCAGTAAAGGGAAACCTAACTTTCTGGTCTGTGAAATGAGTCTTATAGGTTAGGAAACGCCATTGAGAAATCGCCCTGGGGCCAGGTTTGTCACAAACTCGAGTGTCTGAACTCACAGACTTGAAATCCCACTTGTGGTCATCAATTCCCCCCTCGATAAAGTAAAAATTCCCCTCATTTTCGTAATCTTCGACCAAAGTAGCACCCTCAACGTAACAAGATTCCGCATCCAAAACGTCATCATCCACCCAGTTACGAGCCAAATAGCGCTCGCTAGTTTCCACAATCGCCATGCGCCATTAGAATCTCGGCTATTAGCAGACCTGGGATGAGGTTAAACACAGTCAAACGCCAAACACGATAGTCGGCATCAAAGAAGATTACAAGCTTACAATTGACAAATTATTCGTGGCTCACATCTCACCCTCATGCCTCACACACCGCCTCATAACTCGCGCAATGCTTGGTTCACTCTCTACGCCGTTAACGCGTGCCCTACAACAGAATAAACCTAGCATCACTACGTATTCAAAGTGGAAAGTTACCTGGAGAGTCTGAAGTTTCGGACTCAGATGTGTAAAAATCTGAGTGTGAAAGTGGAGAGGACCACCAGGCGGGTGGAATTTTGTACAATCCTATGTCATCAAAGATGGCATCCCACACGCCATAGCGAGTGAGCCGAGCATCTTCTGGATGAAATCTACCCAGTCGGTTGGAGGACCATTATAAACTGTTTGAGGTGCGTAAGGCGACAGGTGGATTAACTCTGGAGTCCTATGGTGAGAGGACCATTATAAACTGATCCTAGGGAATGAGAGAAGGCTCGCGCCGATCCCCCTTAGAGGGGCAACCGCTAACCCTTCCGGCACGGTTACTAGTCCCAGAAGCTTCACCAGAATAGGGAACGACAGCCCCCAGGGCTCTTTCCGGCAGAAGGTCTAAAATCTCACTCTCACTGAAACCTAGCAACTTAGGTACCCTACCGTAGGGTAGAGAACTAACCCCAGGAACTAAAGGGGTAAGAGAGAGAATGCTACCGCCACTCCAAAGAGGGCGGTTGGCAAGATACCTACGCATAACAGGCTCTACCTCAATGCTGTCAAGTGAGTCAAACGCCTCATCAAACTCCTCTTCTTTAATAGTTCCTCCTAACCCAAGTAACTCCTCAGCCGACATCTCACTAAACTTAACCATAACTGAGGAAAGAAAGCAGAAGCAAGAAATAAAGTACCACCCTTGAGAGAAAGGAGCGAAGAACAACGTACCTGTAACTAAAGAGTTTCTGAAAGAAGGAAGAAAAAAAGGAGTCCTAACCACCAGAAGTCCTTACACAGGAACAACAGAACCAGAGAAGGTGCAGCAAGAAGTAAAACCTTAAAGCCCAATGGAAGTTGCGAAGATTAATGCAGGCGAAAAAGGAGAAAGCTGAGTATGAACAACACCAGAGGTTGACGAAGGTTGCAGAGAAAGCTTATAAGATTTTGAAAGAAGTGAGTAAGAACAAGGTTAACATTCTTATAAGAGAAGAAAGACTATTCATCAACATACACGTGGAGGGTCAATCAAGGGTGACCGCCAGATCGTGACAACCGTCAAGCGACAAGTGGCCCTAATGGAGGACCCTAAGGTAATTTTGGGGAGACAAGACGAGGCTCACGTCGCAATTAATGCGCCGTACTGCGCAACGAAGGGTTTCGTGCAGTTATTGCAATGGCGAAACTGCCATCATTACAACCCTTTGAAAACCGCAAAAGTTAACCGTCACTAACTGCCATCATTACAACCCTTTGAAAACCGTAAAAGTTAACCGTTACTTTTGAGTGTACAACCCATACCAAGTGACACGAACCAAGTATCCCACGACACTCCCATGATTAAGAACGCCTCATCAACCGTGAGCTCATACTGATAATTATCTGACGCCCAGAGAACAATCGTGACATCGAACCGATCAGACAGCCTATTAACTGGCCATGACCTAGTTCAGCTGATGCCTCAAGGTTAGCCCTATAAACAGTCTCGCCTTGGTCAGGCGTTCATGACAACCTATCTTGGCACCAAGCAATGCTTGCTACCAAGCTGGGGGGCTCCTGTTCCGGATGGCTTAACCACATCCGAAGCCCAAGGGCCTTGTAACGTAGATGGCCCAGTTTCACAGAGCCCCAAACAGCCTGAGCCCAGTACCCCAAGTTATATACACGTCAGCCCTACCAGTTGGCCCTAGACGCATGCCCCAAGGTAGCTCGCCTCCCAAGGTAAGACACCAAAATGTCTTACCTTGGAACCCCCTATGCTCTGCGGATCGCCCAGAGACCATAAGTGGAAACCGCCCTGCTGCCGCATGCTGACATCGCCCAAGAGCAGACCCTGCATCGCTGCAGCGCTAGGCGTGTCAGCTCCTCACAACGAATCCCAAGGAGCGTTGACCTCCAATACGTAAGCCCTAACGGATCAAACTCCTGGACTCCTATAAATACCACCCTTGGGCACAAGGGAAAGAGCTACCTTTTATGTACTGTTATTATGCCCATTTACTTCTCAGTTATACACTTACTATCTGTTTGTCATTAATATCAGCTTGCTACCCCTTGGAATATTACCTCCTAGCCTGGTCTTTACCTCATCTAGAGGTATAATCCATATAGTGACGTTACCCTCAAGAGTACATAGTGGGCTCGTTGTATCGAACGGTACAAATACTGTATTTGATTATCTCCATTTGTGTTGATTCAAATGTTTTACTTTTACCGTGTATGGAATTAGTCTCTTGTTGATTTCAATTTTGTCCTTGTAAAAGACTAAAGGTTCCCAATGATGCTATTTTTTAACCATGCTAATGCTGATAACACATGCTTGTTACTTTCATTATACCGAGGGAACTGGTTTTATATTCATTGTTATGTATCAAGTTTTGAATGTATTAAGTTAGCTCAAGCTTTTAGAGCTACCCTTTGCTATGTTCTACAATAATGGTCAAATCAAATTTATGTTTACCTTTTTGCTATTTATTATTCATGCATCGGAGGATTCTGACTAAATGTTACATGATCAACTTTATTGCTTCCTTGTTCAAAGGATTGGCAGCAAGTTCAATGTTGTAATACTCAAGCGCTTGTTTATGAGAAAGGTTAATAAGCCTCCAATTTCTTTGTCAAGGATAATTAAGTACACGAAGGGCAAGGTATGTCCCTCTCTCTATTTGTGTGTGTGTATATATATATATATATATATATATATATATATATATATATATGCAGGATATTCTTACACCGGTGTAAGAGTTAGAAGTCTTACACTCAATCTTGACCATTGATCCACTTATATCCAATGGCTCACATTATTAAAAAAATTTGAGCCTTTAGATATAAGTGAGGTTAACGGATAAGATTAAGAGTGTAACTTACACAGGTGTAAAATGATCTTGACTCATATATATATATATATTTCTGTTATCCCACAAATCAAACACCCCTAACTAGGGATGTGCATGGATCGAACTGAACTGGATTTTTTTAAAAATCGAACCGAATTGGTTTAAATGGTTCAGTTCGAAACCAGTTCAAAACCGATTCGGGTCTACCCTCTTTTGAAAAGAAAAAAAATATAAAATTTAAAAAATAAACTTATAAAAATCAATTCGGTTAGGTTCGGAAACGATTCGGTTCTTGAACTGGTTCTTTAAAAATTGGTTCGGTTCATGAACTGATTTTTAAAAATCGATTATTTTAAAGGACGGTTCGGTTCGGTTTGATTCATGATTCAGTTCAATTTTTTGATTATTTGCCCACCTTACCGCTACCCCTAACTAACTTTAGTCTCCGAAATGCAAACTCACGACTGATAGTACTATGACCTTTATAAGTCATCTTTGGACCGGGCTATTTGTGTCCCACAAATAGGGCTCTTTAATGCTGTTCCAGCCCGGAGAAATTGTCTAGTTGGGCCGAAGTACCTATAGAAGGAGCTAGTTAAAATTGGGCATTTTTGTCAAGTCGGACTCTTCCTATTCAAAAACCCCCACCATCATCAAGTCAAGCCAAAAAACATTAATTACCTTCTCTGTATTATTAACCTGAATAATTTACTATCCTCTTTTTTTTTTACCAAAAAGAATTATTATTTTTTTTAATTTTTGAAGATATTAGTTTTTTTTATTTTTATTTAATACTTTATGTTTACTTAATTTAAAAAGTGTTAAATGAGGATGGATGATAGGATCTATGTTTATACCGATGCTATAGTAATCCAATATTATTACCATGCATGTGTCGTGTTGCATACCAGTGCAATAAGTATTTTAATCCAATATAAATCTAAAATAGGTAGCTCACTTAAGTTTAAGAAGGAAAATAAATATAATCATCAAAGAGAAAGCTATGCCAACCTTGTAAAAAAAAAAAGCCCATGCTAACAACTGATATACGAGGTTATAGAATAAAATATAAAATATATTATTATAATAAAATAATGGAAAAAACTACTCTTATATTGCATAAGAGCAGTTTTATCTTCTACACACTCATTGAAAATCGTGACATTCATTTTTCTTTTTTTTTCTTTTTTCTTTAAATGACGGGTCCCACCACATATGTGTCACAACATGAGAGAAGATCTCTCTTTCAACATAAGATTAAATGAACCCTAAAATAATATATTGTTCATATTCCTTTGAGATAATTATTAAAAAAAAAAAACACACACACACACATTCAAAGAAGAAGAAGAGTACAGGACAACGAATGATTCGAAACTCAAATTTTATTTAAAATAAAGAGGATAATATAAATATAGACATTAAAGATAAAGCCTATTAAATGCAAGTTTATAATATAATTTATATCCCATAAAAGTCCATCATTCTTGATGCAAAGTAATTGCATGATTGCTTTAGTTTTGAAAATGTAAAATCATGGTATACACAAGTTTTAAGAGCCAAGTTTTTTACTCAAACCATTGCAAACCAAACAATCTTCAGATACACATCATTTTCTACTGATTTTATCCGGTTCTTCCATGCCAGTTGTGGTGGCGGTAGAGGCCCCAGTGCTGCCTAAGGTTACAAGAGTTTCAGTTTCATACAGAACAGCACCACTTTTGGCATTCACCTTCTCTGTCCGTGGTGTCTCTAGTTCCACTTTGAACTTCTCATAAATGTCACCTTTGTAAAACTTTCTGGTCCTTAACACCAAAATGAAAGAAACAAAACATCCAACCAACGTTGATGCAGTGATTATGAAAAAAGCCATCCTATAGCACTGTACTCCTATGCAAGTTAAGTCCTCCCCTTTTTGCCTTATGAGTCGCTTCATCTCCAGTTGTTTCAAAGCCTCTTTATCATACAAATAACCAGTCACTCTCACGTTCAGTATGTAAGACCCAACAGGGCTTGCCACGGCTCCAAAATTGTATAATGTGGAGTAGTATTTGAGGCCAAATATTTCAGATATGATTGCAAACATTAACGGCCACATAGCACCAAAGCAAAACCCAATAATCACAGAAGCAAAGTAAAGAGAGTTTGGGATACCAAAGGCTATTAGAAGATGGCCAACACAAGAAAGAAGCATAACTAGAGTGAGCATCAAAGGACGTGGGAATTTGTATTTGGTTAAGAATATTTCAGAGACAAAGCCAGAAAGTGCTCGTCCTAGATAGTTCCATATGCTCACTAAGGACACAAAGGTGGTGAGGCTCTTACTTGGGTATCCCAATGAGTTCCCAATCTGTCCCAAATTGTCAAGTGCTGTTAATGTTCCTCCAACACCAAATGTTGTTGCTATGAACAGAATCAACATGTCAATGCTGAACATAGCTTGGAATATTGTATAGTCCTCACCCCTGTTTGGGGGTTTGAATATGTTCCTCAAACACGAAACTTTGGAAGCTGTGGTGGCTGTGGAAGCTGGTGCTGCCTGTGATTCTGGCTGAGGCAATTCCATAACTGAAGGTGGAACTTCGGTGACTAATTTCAATCGAGAAGCATCTGATTCATTTAAGGTTTTGTCTTGAGTCTTCCAGAGTTTGAGTTCCTCTTTAAATACCACAGCAAGTGGGAGGAGAAGTAAGAAAAGAACCACTATGCCATCAACAACGTACTCAATCCTTGTAAAACTCAACTTGTTCTGTAGGACAATCAACACCATGAGAAACCCAGCAACACCAAGTGAAATATATAGAAGATTGTAGAAAACCTTAAGCTCCTTATTGGGTTGTGGTACTATGTTCAATATCCGAACAGTAGGAAGAAAAAGGAAGGAAATAGCAGCAGGAAGCCAACCAATGAGAAAGATAAGATCTTTTGAGTCATCACCATAGAAGGCATGGTAGAATTGAGTGAAAATGGCACCACTTAGACCCACGTAACCCTTGAGAAGTCCAATAACACTGCCACGGCTTCTTGGGAAGCTTTTGACACAATTGACCAGTGCACCAGTATTTGAAAAAGACTGTGAATTAGCACCAATGTAAAAGTATAGACACATTTGCCAAACTTGGGGTTTTGCAATGCGTCCAGTGACAGAGAGCCATATCATGAAGTAACCAAAGAAGTTCATGATGGCCCCCATGGCTAGTACAACCCAAGGAGGGCTAATCTCATTGATTAAACCTGAGAAAATTCCGAGATTAGCACCAAGGTCCTTGAAGAAGCTTATCAAGTTTAGAGTTGACTGGTCATAACCCAAAGAGGCTTTGACTTCGTTTGAGTATAAACCAAACATATAGGTTGCTCCAGAAACTGCCATGATTAGACAAGAGGCAAAGACCATGAACCAACGGCCGGTGAGAACATGGTAACCGAAGGTCTTCTTCATTTCTCTGAGATCCATCACAACCATTTTTCTTCCTTGTGTTTTGAGGAAATTAAGGTAATAAGGTCTTAAGAGTTGATATCTCTAAAGATGAAACAAACACTCTTTTGGGGAAGCACTTATGCTATTTGGAACCACACATAGTGGTTACGTGAGTATATAATGCGCACGGAATTATAATGTTGCTTGATATGTAGGGACGCAATATTTGAAAAAAAATTAAAATGCTGCAGTGCAGGGATAAGAACATACCGAGAGGATGCAAATTACATGCTTTGAGGAAAAAGTCACATGTAAGTGGTAACTGATTCTCCACCAAAAGTGGTACCAGGTTCAAATCCTTGGGGAAAAAATATGCATATGATTTGAGAAAATGACAAGCACTTCGTGATGCTCCTTCAACCAACCAGTCATTCAGTGAAAAGCTGGGATTCAGTGGGAAACTTAGGAATAAAGGAAATCCATTGAACATTATCAGTTTATACTGGTCCACGGAAGAAGGTATAAGTTCCTAAAGCTCTCTATATAATTTTTTCACAAAGGGAAAAAATTATTTTAAGCTTTCATAAGCATCATACATGTAGATTTTTTTTTTTTTTTTGGTGACTGCTAGGGAAAACAACAGTTTCCTAACTTTGTTTGATTTTGTTTTAGTTACTAGTATAATTTCAAATGATTGACTAATTAACACGCCTACATGAATCATGAATTGTCACAACTTTTGGAAGTATCTGCAGGAAATGTGGAAGATGCCTCGGGTAGACCATTAAAATAAATAAATAATAGTTTCGTACATAGTTGTAGAATCTTACAATTGATTATAACTTTTAATTTTATTTTTGTCAAAGTTATGGTTGGATTATCTTGTCAATTCCTAGTTTAAAGTTATTAACTTAAATATTATACGTTATTTATATAATATATTTTAAATGATTTTTTATTATATTTTTGAATCTCCTATTCAAAATAATCCACGATTTGAAAATTAATTTCGTAATTAACAATTTAAATCACTATGTGATAACTTGGTGTGGTGGCATGGCATGGTGGCAAATTGAAGATGTTTATTTATTCAGAAGTATTATCTTATAGAAAGTCACATGGTATGCTTATCAAATCAAACGAGATAAAACATGATCATGCGATAGCATTGGTGGCAACCTTGTTGGGTTTTTGACCATTTAGGAGTTGCGTCAATGATATTCTTGCGCGTTTGGCGTGCACTTGAAAATATTTTTCGGTAGTGGATGTACTTTTAAAAATATTCGAATAAGTTCATCGTTTTGCAGTATTTTAATTTGGAGAGAGTTCGTAATTAAAGCTTTAAATATTTCATTTTGCAATATTTTGATTTGGAAAGGGTCCATAATTAAAATTTTAAATTTCTCCCAAAAGTTATACCGGAAAGTATCGAACACATACTTTTATAAAAAATATTTTTATATTTGGGGAATTCTTAAATTAATATTTTTTTTCAATTCATTTTCATACGTTCATTCGACCATCATTCACCATCTTATCAAGGGAAATTTTTCTAATACTACACCCAACTGGATACACCCATTTATTAAATAAGAAAAGTTTTTGAATTATAAATGGAAATATAAAAAAGAAGTAAAGATTAAAATGGAGTCACCATTATTGGCTCCCACATCATATGTTTATTGTCAGGACTTTGTCACGATGCCAGACCATCAGATGCCATGGCGTGGATACTTGAATCCTCATGCACCGTTGATTTCGCCTATGGGAGCATTCGACAAATTTATGCAGATAGTCACAAGAAGAGTTTTGAATCGGTCCTCCCGTATCAAATTTTAAGTGGTCCAAACCGTGTCTATAAATTCAATCAATTAATTTCCAGCATAAATTAATAATTTAATGGTATTTTTATGTCAAAAATAAACGTTAAGCGAATATTTTGATATATTTATTATTATAATTTATAAAGCTAAATTAATATATCACTTATATTTTTTTGAATGATAAAAATGTGTATTACTTTCTTTCTTTTTTTAAAAAAAAGTCTTTCATATACATCTTTTTAAAATTTTATAAACAAGTTCCTCGTAGTTTGTTACCCATAATTTGCTCTTCTATGATACTTCATATGAAGATAATGTCAGTTGTGTCGGGTGAATACTGCCAAATGAGGTTCACGAGTCACGTTGATAAACTTGAAATTAAAAGATGGACGGTGACAGTGGGGTAGGCTTAAGATCCTTTGGGTAAAAAGAATGAAGAATGAGGAAAGTACACGTGACAGTTCTCCATCAATATTGAAGAGGAAGAATATTTCTCTGACTTTTGTTGATAGAGCTCTTATTTTTTATTTTAGTTTTGTAATATGATAGAGCTCTTTTTGTATTCCGTTACTTTGGATTGAGATTTCAGATGCTCTTTTTGTGTGTTTGTGTGTCTATATATATCTATATATATATATATATATATATATATATATATTTTTTATACATGCTCTTTTTTGTATATTTATTGGTGCTTTTTATTCTGTTGCTTTTTTTCTTAAACTTCAAATATTTATTGATTGTATTAATTAATTTGAGATAGGTTATATTTATTACTTACTATCATTTTTTTGTATTACCAACTTTATCGTCGTTAGATCAAAATTGAATCAGCGATTACAAAGTAACATCATCTGAAAGTCGTTAATTTGAATTTGATCCAACCATATCAAAATTGATAGTAACAAGTAATAAAAAAAAAATATAATCTTTCCCAATTAATTTTATTATCGAAAAGCTCAATTTGCATACTTACCTTGTAAATCATTTACTTATTATAGTAATCAATTTTAATTATAAACCATTCTCTGTTTCCTTTTTTATCTTTTATTTTTAATTACTATTTTTAAGCAATTTTATTTTTTATTTTTTGTGTGCAATCCAATAACATCTCCTCTATCATAAACGAACCAGTTTCATAAAAAATGTTAAAATTTAAATGTTGTAAGAAAATGAATCAAATAAGCCACTAGTATTAATTTAGTGGTGAAAGATTTGGATAATTTTTATTAAATTATGGATTAAATAAAAATGTAATAAACTTATATAATAAAAATGAGTCTAAGTGTTAATTATAGAGTTTGAGTGATATACGATGTAACTACTTGAAAAAAAAATTAAATAAAAAAAATCTACAACAATTTTGTAATAGCAATGGTGAATTATGTAAATGTGTAATAATAAATTAATAAATAAATACGCCAAAGGACACGTGGTTTGGAGAACGCAGATGATTGGGAGGATTGCTCACAGTGGATGAGTAGAGATAAGGGAGGTAGATTGCTGAGTGAAACTTTGAAAGAGCCACGGAATCAATGTTACTATTATTAGGGGGAATGAATTTTCTTACGTGAAAGAGTAGTCATATGGTCATGTTATTTAATCACAATCATTCATTGATGATGAGATAAGAGAGAAAAAAATATATAATTTTTAAATGAGTAGTTGTGAACAAATAACATAATCACATTACCACTTTTATATACGAGAGAATTCATTCCCTTTATTATATCATGTCTTTCACAACAACCAATGATAATCGATTTTATTGAGCGACGTGTATGTGGGCAATGATCAAACCCCCCACATTTTGTTGTCACCAAGGAATATACTGGCAAATATTTGGTTACTTTGTCAATTCTTAATTGTTTATTGTAAAACTTAACAACTAATGAATATTTAATAGTTCCTTGAGTTATTATAAAAAAAAATTAAAAAATTGTAAGAACATCGTATACGTTTTTCTTTTTAGATGTATTTGTTATAGTTTATTAGAGTGTTCTATTTGAATAATTTTCATATGGTTATCGTTAGAAAATTATATATAAAATTATTAAAGTGACCTCCACTTAATCGCTGAAGCTTTTATGTGAGATGATTATTTATCACGATATTAGAGACTTCGTGACTATGAAATCATAAGTTGAATCATCACCATTATATTTTTTAGTAAAATTTAAGTCATAGAATAAAAAAAAATTGAGTGAAGGGTGTGCTAGGGAAATTATAAATTTAATCCTTCATGTAGTGATTATTGAAAAAGAAACTATATCTTTGCGCCACGGATCGATGCTATATATGGGAAAAGGGAGATGCTACAATCTACATAATTCTGGAGAAGGCCGTGTTTAATTTGGCATTGGTATTGTGGCAGGGAGAGATGCTTTGTTCTGCTCTGAGATTTGAGAAGGACACTATCAACTCATTCGCTAACATTTGGGATAGGATTGCGGCTTTTGATGATGATCACCCATAAGCGAATCCAGTTCTTGACTCCACTTTACCTTTTCTTTTTCATTTGAAAACCTTTTTTTAGTTTATTCCTTTTTTCTTTATTGGAAGGCTGCATAATATAAGTTGGTCTATTCTCTCTCATTTAATAAAATTACCCAATTTTGATAAATTTAGTATATGTTTAACATTATATTATCCAATTTTTGAGTAACATGTTATAATCCTAATTGGGGAATACTCACTCAAACATCTTCATTCATCATCTTGTAAAATGTACCCGTCCTCTCTTGATTGGTTTAAATCAGCATAAAGATAAACAAATCCAAGTTTGCTTAGAAATATAAATGGGTTTGGTTACTTATTCTGCAATCAATTTTCTTAAAAGACTAAGTCGTTGGATTGCATGAACAATTTTATTATATTCCTTAATATGTTTCTTTACTTCAAAAATTTTTGGGTTTTCAAGAGTAAATAATGCACGTGTCTATTTTTTATTAGTTTTGGTTACTTTGTACTTGAATTCAATTTTTTTATTAAAAAAAAGTGTAAAGATCGAACAATTGTTCATAAATCTTGATATCATATTGCTCGATCAACTCTCATAACCTAAAGTTGTTTGTGAAGAACTATAAATAATTTTATATATTTCTTAACACTACTCATTTTTCGAGCCTAGTTACCCTACTACTGAGATCGATGCGTATATAGAGACGGGATAATAAATAAAAAAAAACATTAAACAGATATAGATGTAGGCACGCAGGACATATGCATTTTTTTTTATTTTTTTTACAAACTGGTATGAGTCTAAGTATATATATACCACTATATAATTATATGCAGCACATATAGACACAAACATTTGAGAATATTTTTTTAAAAGGGGTGAGTGATTTAGGTCAAGTAAAAAAAAATTAAAAAGATTGAAAAGAAAAAAGTAAAAATAGGCCCAAGCCCAACCCAACCAACCCATATAATTAAAAGGTTAAAGCTTAAACCCTACCCCATTGCTTTGTCTTTTCTTCTTTTTTTGAAACATAAACCTTATTAGCTCCAAACCTTAATGTACATCAATGATTCCTCAAATTCAATCTTCATCAAATGGAGGAGAATCGCATGAGATTTTTCACGTTTTTTTGTGAAGCAAAAGTGGTCAATTTTGGATCAAATAGACATTGATAGAGGTTGGTTTTTTATCAATTAATCCCTATAATTAATACATTTAAAATTTTCTTTAAAAAAACTCCGCCACTGATCATATGAT